GAAGCCCGAATTCGCCCCGCGCGAGGCTACGCAGGTCAGCATCTGGTGCGGCACAGCAGCCTGACTCAGGGTGTCTTTGACTCCACGGGACTACCAAGCGCTGGCTTGCGCATCTCTGACGGGAGGGTCTCTAGGTGGGCCCGGTGGGCTCGATCCCGGTGGGCTCGATCCCGGTGGGCCGCGGGGGTGCGCAAGAGAAAGGGGGCGGTCACGTTGCCCCGTGACGCGCGTCGTCCTGGTCGTGCTCGTGGCGTGCGTCACGGGGACGACGGCACAATGAGCGCTGCCTATCAATCTAATTATCTGTCTATCTGTCTATTGGGCGCGGAGGGTCGTCTAGCCTAGGCTCGTGCCGCGTATCTATGCGGCCGGCACGTGCGGTTAGCCGCCCTGCGCATCAGCGCGTCGCTCTGTCTCTGTCGCACTCGCGGGGCCCTCCATCCGAGTGCGAGAGAGACGGAGCGACAAAAGCGGCGCCGCGTTTCCCTTTCTACGGGCGGCCGTCAATGTGACGCACAACTTGACCGAGGCGGAGGACTGCAGGACCGGCCCGACCGGGCCGCTCCGCTACAGTGGGCTAGCAGACCGGTGGCGGCGGCCAAAACTCCAGACGCGTTTTGAGCTCCAGAGTCGCTAAATGGCACTCGAACCGAACGTGTGACCCCACCAATGGATTCCTCGTTCGGAGAGCAATCCATTGGTGGGGTCACACGTTCGGGTCGAGTCCCATTTAGCGACTCTGGAGCTCAAAGCGCGTCTTGAATCTTTGCCGCCTCCACCGGTGTTCTGGCCCACCGCTAGGCGAGGCAGGGCGCAGCGCGCTGCTAGGCGAGGCTTACGTAACGAACGAAGGAAACGCTCTCGCTCGCGGTGCAGTATATTGCAGCGGCCGCTGCAGACTGAGAGTCGTCGCGCTGTCTCTCTCGCACCCACACGGGATGCCGCTGGAGTGCGAGAGAGACGGAGGCCTGGAGGCGCCACCCTCGCCTCGCCGCGGTGTTGTTGGCGGATGTGGGTCGCGCGTGACCTCGAGCGTGACGCCGTCCCCATCAAGGTTGCACCCCTAATGAGGTCCCAGCCAGCACCGCGCCAGCACCCCTTGCATTGCAGCGTGCAGCGCGCGCAGGGCACTGCAAGTACAGTAGGCAGGTGACCCAGTTCGGCCCCGCAGGCCGCGCACCCGAGAAGGAAGGCCGGCCGGGGGAGGACGCCGCCAGTGTACTGTACTCGCGGCCCAGCTGGGCCACTGCCGGGACGGACAGGCCAGGCTGGCCAGGCCCGGACGGGAAGGAAGGGGCGCGGCTCACGGTGTGTCGGTCGGACATGACGACGCAGAACCGCGGCGGGGCTGCAGACTCATTCCGTCGCTCTGTCTCTCTCGCACCTACACGGGACGCCCCGTGCGTGCGAGGGAGACGGAGCGACGGGAACGACGCTCGGAATCGTCATGCCGCTGGACATCCGAGACGCGCCCGATCCGTCCGAGTCGCATTCCAGACCGGAATTCCCCCCGCGGACGTCGCACAGTGGGCCAGAAGACCGGTGGAGGCGGCCAAAACTCTAGACGCGTTTTGAGCTCCAGAGTCGCTGAACAGGACGCGAACCGAACGTGTGACCCCACCAACGGATTGCGCTCCGAACGAGGAAGCCATTGGTGGGGTCACACGTTCGGTTCGAGGCCTGTTCAGCGACTCTGGAGTTCAAAACGCGTCTCGAGTTTTGGCCGCCTGCGCCGGCCTTCTGGCAATGCGCCGTGCACATAGACGTAGTGCAGTCTGCGCCGCCCGCGCCACCCACGGCGAACCCTGTGGCGGTTCACGGCGCGGCGCTGACGCTGACCCAGTTGAGACGGGACGCCGTGTTCGTGTTGGTGTTCGTGTCCGCCAGCGCAGCCCAGCGCAGCGCAGCGCGGGCGGCGTGGGGCAACGCCACACAGTGGGCCAGAAGGCCGGTGAAGGTGGACAAAACGCGTTTTGAGCTCCAGAGTCGCTAAACAGGCCTCGAACCGAACGTGTTACCTCACCAATTGATTCCTCGTTCGGAGAGCAATCCATTGGTGGGGTCTCACGTTCGGTTCTAGTCCCATTTAGCGACTCTGGAGCTCAAAACGCATCAAGAGTTATGTCCACCTCCACTGGTCTTCTGGCCCACTGTGCGCCATGCCGGCCGATGCCGGCGAATCACGGCGCTCGCGTCGCCCCGTCTCTCTCGCACTCGCGGGCCGCTCGGTGGGTGTGCGAGTGAGAGAGGCGGGGCGATGAAACGCCGAGTGGAGTCGCTCGCGGTGCAGCACGCCGCTATGCCTTATGCTCTGCCATTATGCAGGGCCGTGCCTCGCAGTGCAGTGCCGTGCAGCGCAGTGCCGCAACAGCGAGCAAGGCAGGAGCGGGGGGCACGCCGTTGTGACGGCGGTTACCGATTCCGAGAGTCGTTTTCGTCGCTCTGCCTCCGTCGCACCCGTACGGGACGCCCCACGAGTGCGACGGAGAGAGACAGCGACGAGAAACGACTCTCGGAGTCGGTCTGTAGCGGGGCTTCCAGCGAGCGACGATATGTACCCCGCGGAAGCTTACACTCTGTCTCAGGTCGGAAGAAGCCTGGCGAGGTTCACTTGCCTCCTCAGCCACCGCAGCAACACGGCTACCTGCGTGCTGAGGCGGAGGCCCTCGCCGGGACCCTCCCGACACGCCCCATTGTGGGGGTCCAAGCGAGGACAAAAGAGGCTGGCTTTTAACTCCAGTTCAACTACAAAATTTTAGCTTTTAAAAATATTTTTCCCCGTTGTTGCGTGGTAGAAATAGGCGCTCAAAATGAAGTATTTTCGTGCAAACGGGAAGTTTCTGTGACCATTTTGAGACACCACGGAGCTGGATGGCGTCGGAATTCCGGCACTCAACTTAGCACTCAAAATTGAGGTGCGGATTTCAATCATTTTTGTAATCCAGCTGAAATTTTCTGTTCAGTCCATTTTTGAAATCAGACTGGACAAATTTTATGTCAATGCACTTGTTCAATACGCACTGCTCGGCCCTCATTACAAATGCGGTGCCAACTCGGGTGCCAATGAAAAGGGACAGACCCTTCCCGGCCCGGGCCACCACCCTCAACAGCAGGTAGTGGCACTACCACCGCGCCAACGCGACCGTCGCCAGGCTTCTTCCGACCAGAGACAGACTGTAGTGACTGCGTGGTTTACATGAGTCTCAAATACATAAAGTGCATGGAACCCCGGCGACACTCCTCGCGCGGCATCGGAATCGCACCGAGGCTATCAGGCGGTTGGCCGATAGGCGGGCCGGACAAGTTGGCGGGGCCCGATGGCGGCGCGGTTGCTACTTTTCCTGGTGTAGCGGTGCCGACGTGCAGTGCACCCGATATCAAATCCCCCCCCACCCTCCCCTTTCCCACCCCGGCGGCCCGCGTCCTTGCCGACTCTGACGTTATTTTTACTAGAGTGGGGCGCGGCGTGGCGTGGCGCGGTCGTGTGGTGACGGGGGTAACGCCCTGGGGACTCCCCCCCCCCCTTTCCTCCCCGTTCCCTTTCTCTCGTTGCCTCATTCAAACGACAATGAAGCCGACGCCGGTCTTCCTTCGGCCGCGTTCGGCTCGGCCCCTCCGCCTGTTCCGGGTCGGCGGGGCCGCCGATGAGGTGTACAACAACGGCTTCGCGGAGACGAAGCGGAGAGCGGCCTTTTGCTCTGGAATGAACCGAATTCCGTCTTCGGCGTGTCACGTGACGCGAAGTGCTCAGTCGCCAGCGGGCCTCCAGGGTACTACCACGTCCACGAGTCGTTTCGTCGCTCTGTATCTGTCGCACTCTCGCGGCTGGGTGCGAGAGAGACGGAGCGACGCTGGGAGGACGCCGATGACGCATGGGTGGCGCACGGCACGGCGGGGCCTTTGGTTTGGCGGTCCGCTCCAGCGGCTCCAGGAAGCCTCAGCCGGAAGCGGACGGACGAGAAAGTCCGGAACGGCGAGTATGGCACACTGTATGTCCGCGGCGGCGACTCAGTTCCGCCGCAGGCCGCTGGGAAGTGGAAGCCCCCCGCTCCCCCCACCCCGAAGCCGGGCGAATCGGCGCGGATCTCCTGGGTGGGCCTCGTTTCTCGTGTGTGGCACTTTCTTGTGTTTGTCGCTCTCATTATCCGTCGGTTTCTTGCGTCTCCCGCGTGCGACCGTGCGATACTGCACTTGTGATGCTTCTCACTACTCGCACAGCACACCGCTCCTGCCGAAAGCGGGAGCAAGCGGAAGTCGGGTCGGACTGTCCGTTTAAATCCGGCCGCGCCGCGCGCCGCCGCTCCCCGCCGCGGTCAGCGCGCGCATGAATGCAGACTGATTCCGAGAATCGTCTTCGTCGCTCTGTCTCTCTCGCACCTACAAGGGACGCCCTCTAAGTGCGAGAGAGACAGAGCGACGACTCTCGGCATGACGCGACGCGTCGTTTGGCGGGCGACGGCGCGGATGCGCGGGCTGGCCCGGCCGCGAGGCGAATCTGTGTGTGTGTGTGTGTGTGTGTGTGTGTGTAACTTACTCGTCAGTAGTATTTCCCCGTACTCGGCTCGCGCGGCCCGGCCCGGCCCGCCCGCCGGTGCGTCACTTGATTCATTCATGCCGGCTTGGCCGCGTCGCGCCCCGCTGCTGCTGCCCGCCTGCTCGGTCGGTGCCGCCAGCCGCCAGCCGCCCGGTCTTGGCAGGCAGGCAGTCGCACAGCCAGGCGAGTCGAGCCAGGTCCGGCCGGCTCGACGCAGTCAATCTTTGCCGGTCCGCGGCTCGCTCAGCTGGTCCTTGCAGTGGCGTGGCGAGCTGCCTCTCGGTGTCAACACGTAGTGTCAGTCCCCTGTGTCAGAAGGTTCTCCCTTCTCGTCGTGTTTCTCGCGTAAGAGGGTCCAGTGTAGTAACGCCCCCTGGCCGTGCGGCGTGCCTCCTCGATGTCGGTCCCGCCCTGATTGTTGTTCGATTGTTGCGGTGCTGACGGTGGCCTTCCGTTTGTGTTGCAGGGCCGTGAGGGCGTTCCAGCAAGTGCTCTACGTGGACCCCGTCTTCCAGCGAGCCAACGAAGTGCACCTGCGCCTGGGGTTGATGTTCAAGGTGAACAACGACCCCGAGACAGCGTTGAAGCATCTCAAGCTCTCGTACGTGGACGCGTCGCCCAGCACCTTCTGCAAACTAGAGAGTGAGTAGTGCACTGCCGCCGACCAACTGCTGGACTGACGTTTGGTTCGGCCCTGTTACTTTGTGGTGAATGTCTAGCTGACACTGGTTTGTTTCGTTTGTGCAGTTCAATTCCACATCGCTCACTTGTATGAGGTTCAGAAGAAGCATAAACTTGCGAAGGAACTCTATGAGCAGTTGTTGAAGGAGAAGGACCTCCCATTACATTTGAAGGCTGACATCTACAGGCAGCTAGGTAAATGAAGGGTTGACGTTTTGTTAGAAGGGTATATGCGCCACAAAACAGGTAAAATAATGATTGTTTATCTCTTTCAGGATGGATGTATCACAATGTGGAAGCGTTTGGAAGTAAAAATGAGCGCATGACATTGGCTATACGCTGTTTAGAAAAATCTCGTGAAGCTGACAGCAATTCTGGCCAAACATTATATCTATTAGGAAGGTGTTATGCTACAATTGGCAAAGCTGATCATGCCTTTGATGCTTACCGGAATGTAGTAGAGAAGACAACTCCAACTGCTGATGTTTGGTGCTCTATAGGAGTGCTTTACCAACAGCAAAAGCAGTACGTGGACGCTCTACAGGCATATGTGTGTGCTGTCCAGCTAGACAAGTGTCATTCTGCCTCTTGGATAAATTTAGGTACCTGTCTTAACTTCATTTGTTCTCATATCAATTATGTTTAATGTTCAACTTAACTTGATTGAATTGACCGATCCTATTTTTTTTGACAGGGATCTTGTACGAGAGTTGTAGCCAGCTGAAAGACGCCTTAGCCTGCTACATTCATTCTGTGCGTGCAAGCAAAGAGAAGGCAGCTGGTGCTGGAACTAGCTCTTCAGAACCAGGTCCGTTGAAACCCTGGCATATCAGTGCTCGTCCTCAGAACACTGAAACTCCAAACTCTGATATTAGCCAGCGCATTAGTTTTCTTCAGACACAACTGGCAAAAACTCCAATGCCTAGCATTACCAGCAAGTAAGTGTTTGTTAGAATGTAGAGTCTTGTTGTGTTGTTAACATTTACCCACCTCTTGTTGTTTTGGGTAACCAGACATGGAACTAACTGTGCTTTCAATTATTTTCTCAGGGCCGAGCTGCCCACAATCGAGGAGGCCTGGAACACTCCTGTTGTAAGTGACTGGAATTCAAAACACCAGCCGCAACAGAAGCGTCATCCAGGCATGGCTCAACAGGGTGGGCCTAAGCCAAACCATTACGTCAATGGAGTGAACGGAGGGGCTGTACCTCCCCCACCATACCCTGGTGGCGTTCCTGGCCCAAATGCAAAGAGATTCAAGGTAGTACATAATTTCCTCTTGAAATGATGTGATTGTTCCTTTAGATTCTGAAGTAATTTGACTCTTCATGTCTTGTGCTGCAGCCCAATGGAGAAGTGGACAATGGAATGGTTGGAGCGCGGCCGCCCCAGGCACAACAAGCACAGCAGCTCCCTCCGTACTACTTGAACCAGCAACAAATTCAGATGCTGCAATTCTTCCAGGCCAATGTTGAGACTCTGAATCCTCAGCAGACGGCACAAATGCAACAGTTGCAGCACCATTTCCGATTGATGCAGCAGCATCAGCAGCAGCTGCGATTGCAACAGCAGCAGCTACGTGCTGGAGCTGCTCAGCCACAAGCGCAAGTGGCCAGGCCACCTCAGCAGCCTTTGCAGCAACCTGCTGTGAAAACTGGCCCTCCTCAAGCAGTAAGTTGAGCTCTCTGTTCAGATATTTGTATATTAATTTAAGTTCACTTGCTTACTTTGGCATGCCTCTTCCCTGTGCAGACTGGTGTAGCACCTCAATCTGGCTTTGCTGAAACAAGTAGCACTTTTGCTGCAACAGCAAATAGTCAACCTGGCATGCCATACCAGCAGTACCAACAGTCAGCACAACAACTCCCACAAACACAACAGCCTCAGCCTCAACCTCAACAGCAGCAGTTTTCTGGCTTCAATCAGAACCAATATCCTCAAAATAACCAAAATAAGGCTCATGGAACAACTGGAAATTATGATCTCTCTGATCAGGATCTTCAGGCATTTTTCTCACCGAAAGATATTACTGCATCTCTTGCAGAGGATCTGCTGAAACAGTTTGGTTCAGGAAGTGAGGGAGAAGAATCCATGGATACTTCTGGTAACTAATTGAAGTCTGATTAATTTATTTTTGATTTGCAAACCTACTTGTCAAAGAATGATAATAATGTGTTGTGTGCTTTTAGGTGGTGCACAGACACTAAGCTCGGGCCCCTTTTCTCCTACAAATCTACTAGGAGGAGATTCCAACTCTGTGACTGTTAAAGATGAAAAACAAGATTCATGCAGCAGAAGTGCTGCAGCAAACAAAGCAGCGGCAGCTTCCGCAAGTTTAAGACAAGAAAAACCTTTATCTCGCTGGTGAGTCAAATTTTATTATTGATTGAATATTAACTGTGTTATTGTCAGTTTCGTAAAAGCTTTGTTTTATCATTTCTAATTTTATTTGTGTACCTGTTTTCAGTATATACAAAACAAATACAAACAAAGTAAGAAGTGTTAGTGGAGAAGAGTACCTGGCCCATGACATCAAGAAAGAAGCTTCTAGTTTGGAAATGGCCAACATATCGGCTAAAACTGAAATTGAGCTGTCATATGAAAGTGACTCAAAGACCATCTTGGCAAGTGTAAAGTGAGTACAATGTTCGACTGCATGCCTGTAGCAGGCCAATTCATCCTCAAAGTTTTCATGCTATTTTCATTTCTCTCTTGCAGAGGTCAAAGGCTAGAGAATTTAGCTGCTTGCAGCATTCTGTCAGTGAATGCTCCCCCTCCACAGCCTCCTGAGCCACCACCACAGAAACTGACTCGAGAACAATTAAATCCACCTACTCCGTCAGTCTATCTTGAATGTAAGAAGGACGCCTTTAGTCCACAGTTGCAAGATTTCTGTCTCCGGAATCCCATTGCAGTTGTAAGAGGCCTTGCTACAGCGCTGAAGCTTGGTAAGTTCTTTCTTGTGTAAGTTTAGATTCCATTCAGTAAAAATAAATGCATTTATTACTTACCAATTTTGACGTTTGCAGATCTGGGTCTCTTCTCAACAAAGACTTTAGTAGAAGCTAATCCAGACCATGGTATTGAAGTTAGATCTCAAATGCAGCAAGCTCCTGATGAAAACCGTGATCCCACCCTCGGAACTAGAGTGTGGTCCTGTATTTCTCACCGCTCTCACACTTCAATTGCTAAATATGCACAATACCAAGCATCTTCATTTCAAGATTCTCTGAAGGTTAGTCCAGTTTCTTAGTAAGTCTGCTCTGTTAACTGAAGAATGTCTGAGTCCAAACTGCAATTGTTTGACATTTCAGGAGGAGCAAGAAAAGACCACAGGTGTTCACTGCAGCAATTTGTCAGACTCTGATTCTAAGGATTCAACTGGAAATGTTGTGAAGCGGAAGCTCAAAAATGGGGTTCATCCCAACAACAAAGTTGCTGCTAATGGCTGCAAAATGATCAAATTTGGTACCAACGTTGATTTATCTGATGAGCGAAAATGGAAATTTCAACTCCAAGAACTTACCAAACTGCCAGCATTTGCAAGAGTGGTGTCAGCGGGAAACATGCTATCCCATGTCGGTCATGTCATTCTTGGCATGAATACAGTTCAGTTGTACATGAAAGTCCCAGGAAGTCGCACTCCAGGGCACCAAGAGAACAATAACTTTTGTTCTATTAACATAAACATAGGCCCTGGTGACTGTGAATGGTTTGCTGTTCCTGATGCGTACTGGGGTGCACTAAATAATCTTTGTGAAAAGTATGTTATTGTTTATCATACAGATATAACTTAAGTCCATGCTTTCAGTTTTAATCAATCAATTGTTTGTTTGCTTTTAGAAATAACATGAATTACCTGCACGGTTCCTGGTGGCCACTCCTAGAAGATCTCTACGAAGCAAATGTTCCTGTTTATCGCTTCCATCAAAGGCCTGGAGACTTAGTGTGGGTCAACTCAGGTATGTTAGCTCTGCTTCAATTTCAATTTGATCTGGCCTTTTATCGTTGAATTAAACTGGTGTTAGTCTAGTTGTGATTGACCAATAAATATCTTTTGTCATAGGTTGTGTGCACTGGGTGCAAGCGGTAGGCTGGTGTAATAACATTGCCTGGAATGTTGGACCTTTAACAGCAAGACAGTATCAACTTGCCATAGAACGATATGAATGGAATAAGCTACAGAGCTACAAGAGTATTGTACCAATGGTGCATCTTTCATGGAATCTGGCTAGAAACATCAAAGTTGCTGATCCTAAACTTTTTGAAATAATCAAGTATGTCCTGTGAAATAAGTTCTTATTTATTTCTTTGTTATGTTTTCCCGTAATAAATTGCATCTTATGTACCTAACTGATGATATATTTTCTCTTAAAGGAACTGCCTTATGCGTACGCTACATCACTGTGCACTGGTTTTGGAATTTGTGGAGTCAAAAGGTGTTGAAGTTAGATTTCATGGTCGTGCAAAGAATGAAGCTTCTCACTATTGCGGCCAGTGTGAGGTAAGAGGCTGATATCTCCTATCCGTACTTAAGATTTGAAGTTAAGTCAACTGAGAGCTGTTTCATAAATTTTGTTGATTGACTGTTTTTGTTCAGGTTGAGGTCTTCAATATACTATTTGTAAGGGAACAGGAGAAACGGCATGTAGTCCATTGCATGGACTGTGCCCGCAAGCAGTCACCATCTCTTGAAGGATTTGTTTGTCTTGAGGAGTACAGAATGTCAGATCTGTGCAATGTTTATGACCAATTTAAAATAGCACCTGTGGTGAGTTAAGAACTGTGAACTATTGACTATACATGACTATTTTTTCTCAAGTTTCTATCTGTAATACTGTGTTCCTTTTTCTTGCAGCATCAAGCTCAGGCCTTGCCGAGTACTTGATGTCAGGCTGGTGCAGAAGGGCTGTACCTGTCTGCACCATGCTCAGCTCTTTTATCTTCTCCTCTCCCATGGCCTGACCCACCCACCCCTCCATTTTAGAGTGTTATCAGCACTCATGAACCACTGCCCGGAGGAGGAGGCGCCTTGTGTATTTATTGGCTATTTAATTTATATATGTACATATAGAGAGATTTATTTGAACACTGTTAATTACTTATGTTAGGAGTGTTACTGTTGTTGAAGGCTTCTCCTCTGAAAAAATTGTGATGTTTGTCACTTGGACCCTGCTGGCAGGCGTATGCTACGTCCCACCTGCCACAATTTTTGATTGATTGTGGTGTGGGATAGTGTGGAAAAATAAGCACCTACCATGAGCCCACCAACACTGCTGTGACGGGTGAATTCACCCAAAGTTGATTTTGGAAACTTTCTTCTGAAAAAGTGATCTCATTCCAAGTTAATTCTTATCGCCAGTTTGGTGTTGCTGTTGCTGGTGGTCTTGTTATTCTTGTTACCAGTCCATTCTCTAAAATTTATATTACTTTGTACACATACCATTTATATAATGTATGTATGTATCTGAATTAGTTATTTCCCAGATGTGTAAATATTACATATATCTATAAATATATTGAAAAGATTTTGTACATATTAACCTATTGTGTATATATATACATAAAAATTTGATATAGTCTGTTTTAAGATGATGAGTTTTTCTTTGTTTGTTTGTTTTTTTTTTAAAATTATGCTGTGCACTTAATCATTTCAGTGCACCAATTGAAAGATACCCCATGCTGTGTTGATTTAAAAATCTGGATTTGTTTCAAACATTTTGTTTGGACTTTGGAGGGAGAATGTATTTTTATTTACTCAAACCTAGATAAATATTTACAGCCAAATAGATAATGTCAACACTTTGCCTTAGTGTCATATGAGGGTGATTTTTTTTTTGTCAGAGGAGTCTGATTTTGTATCCCTTCCAGTGAAAATAAGACAAAAGATGAATTGTCCCCTCTAGATTTCTGACATCTAGTTTTAAGAACTTCTGTTTATAAATGTATTTGTGATCTTCTCACCATTATAATTCTGACTGAAGGATACAGGTTTTACCCGCCAGGCTGATGCTTTGAAGCTAATCCCGTTCATAGCTTCATCTCACTGTATTTTTTAAATAGAATTTTTTTTTCATTTCCACAGATATTGTAATGTTGAAATTGTGCCAGATGGAAGGTGATAAAGACTGGTCTGTTCAGGGCCTCAGTCCGGCGAGTGTAAGTTTGGAATGCAGACCATCCTTAATGGATGTTTTATCATGCTATATTTAAATTATTGTGATTTTGTGATAAGACTGATCAATCTTGTCTTTACTGCGTAACTACACTGCCATGGATGGAAAAGTATCACCTTTGGGTATACAATTTGTATTTCATCTTTTTCTTATTCAATTGTGTTTTTTTTCCCCCTGATAGTTATTTATGGTCATCCTCTTGAAAATATTTCCGATGAATTCGTGTTTGTTTTGTGTAGTCCCCTTCCTATTGTTATTTTTAATGCAAAGTGTTGCATTTTCCTGTAAAATAACTTACCTGTATTGGATACATTAATCCAGAAATTGGCCAAGCCATGTTCAATTTGATGAGGGGAGCAATTCCATTGTAGACTTAGTGTTGCTTGCTTTGATTGTTCTTTGAGTATTTGTAGTGTTTAACACTAATGTCAATTGTATCATTATGAAGTCCTGTTCATGGTTTGATGAGGACCATCCATTTTATATTCTGACTTAAACAATTTCTCACACGATTTGATTGCACTAACTTAAGCATTGATTACATTGATGAATGGATCCCAATTCACCCATAATCATCAAAAGCGTTTTCAAATTAATTCTCAATTTCTGAATTAATATACTGTTGTGTTCTCTGTTTGTGACTCAGTGTCTCATTTTTGTTGGTTCAGGTGTGAGGAAACCACATCTTTTGTACTTGTGAATGGATAGTCAAGCTGTGTATGACTTCGTATTCAGTTCTATTGAGCTCAAACCAAAAGTGTGTTCATTTTTTAAAACTAGTACCTGCTTCAAAGTGGAATAAATTTGTTCATTTCATTAGGTTTTCTTTGAGCAAGTCATGAATTTTACTTTTGTCTTTTTACTATTAGTACTCAATAGCTTTAAATCAAATTTTTGGATGAAGTGAATAGTGCTGTCTTGACACTTTTAAATGTCAATGCCTCTGTCAGTCAGTAAAGTCATGTTTTATCATTTGTGATCATATTACCTTTCTGTGGTGCATGTTGCACATGTACACCCAACTCATGAACCTTCAATCATGCAACTTCACATCAGTCTTTTAGTTCTATCAGAGATCCATTCAGTCTTGGTTTTAATCATTATTTCTGGCAGTTTTTATTGTTTTTTGTTGGCTTTTTTTTGTTTTCTTTGTTTCTGGACATTAATTATCCTCTCCCTTTCTGCGGAAAGAAACAAAACAGGTTCATTTGTCTAGCTTGTGTCTCTCATCGAAGTCTTGAACATACTGTATTGGACAAGTTTGGTTTTGTTATGTAATATAGATTTTGTTAGACTTTGTTCTTTTTTGGTTGTTTATTCCCCTCCTTTTCACCCCCTATCTCTTTATTTCATTTGGGAACCAGTGCAAGATATTCTAATTAACAAAAACATTTGTTGTTGTTTTTTTTTCTGCTCCATTCATGTTTACAATCAACCAGTGGTAGACCTGCTCTTGGTTAGAGGCTGGACACATGTCAACCAAAATGTTACAGTGCACAGGAAAAGAAAATGCAATACAGAATGACTTGTGATATAATAGTGTTATTTGTTACTTTTTCCCACCCCTCAAACTTTTATAATACTTAACTTAAATTCTTTGTTATTGAATGTTTTGTGGGATTATAATTGTCATTCTTAACGATAAATACTTTGTGTGCTTACAAATGCATTTGGTTTGTTACAACTTCTAATCTCGGGCAGCTTCTTCTATTCTGTATTTTTCCTATTTGTCAGTAGAATTGGAATTCATACTAAATTTGTTGGTTGAAATGTTAACATTTCCAGGAGGCCTTGCCTGAGTATTCTGTTAACTTGTGATTGCACCAGCCACTTGAATCATCCTGGAACCAACTACTATGTAGATTAAATTAACTTTTAAATCAACGCCTTGAGTTTTATTGCATGAGTTTCCTAGCCTACAAACGATTTGATTGGTGTCTATGATCCTGAGCCAATGAGACGGGGCAATACAAAAACAGATATCGCATAGGCTCTGAGTTCAAAGGTAGGGGCAGTCTTAGAAAAAGTTGCAGGTACAACTCCTATAGCATGTCAACATTTTCCCTTTGCTTCTCAAACAAAAACAAGAAAAGATGGCTGAGAGCGCAAAGGTAGCGGCCGCCCTGATAAAGGAGTTCTGGTGCAGTGAAAAAGCTTTGGACGATGGGTTGCCTACTTTCCGGCGCATGCCAAATCTCATGGCTAGTCCAACAAATAGGAACCGTTTCAGAGCAACACTAACTCACCAATCCCACAAAGAGGAGGACAAAATAACACTGGAGTTATGAATTTTTAATTAGAAAAATGAAATAGTATGGTTCTATTACCGTACAATCACCACAGTGTACTATTCAAAATGTGAAATCCTTTTTTCTCACAGAATACAGGATCCTAGATCAAAATTTCAATGACTCTAAATTGGTACCTAAATAAATCACACTCACACACAAAATTTAACGAATGGAGTACCTAAGTGTGCCAGAAATTCACATCACCCGCACACGCACACCACATCAATTCTTATACAAATGCAACAGAGGCAGTAGGCAACAAACTTGCATTCTTGTTGGGATTTCTATTCAAATGATATAATATGCAAAGAAGCAAAAAACAAATACAAATAATCACAAAATGCCATTAAAGTATGGTTATCATACAGCAGTTCCCCGTTCCAAATTCTGTTTAATCTCTGCTGTGTGCTGTCCATAGAAGCGTTCCAGCTTCTTGTTGAAGTTCATGTTGCGTTCATTAATGTAATCGATATCTGCATCATCGTTGTGCATTCTCCTGCGGCTATATTTCTCTCTCTTTGCCACCCTGAAAGAAAATAGGAATTAAGTGAGACAAACATTCACAATGCCATGTGTAATCTTCATGTCCACAGAACTTAAATACTTACTGTTTTTCTAAATCATCTACCATTCGGTCAATCCCTTCCTTCGAATCCTTGAATTTTCCATGCAAGATGGCGTTTTTCTCATTGTAAAAAGCATCACCTAGTTTCTTGCGTTGATCATCATACTTCTCCATGTCTGGTTTGATACCTTTAACTAGGCGATTATACTGTCGAAGGGTTGCTTGCTCATAATCAGCAAAACCTGAATCTGGGTTCTTCTTCTTCTTTTTCTTATCCAATCTTTCAGCATCTACTGCTGAGATTTCGAGAAGTTTCACTCTATCATAGTCTTCCCCCTAATGACAACATCAAAAACACAAATTGATTAATTCACTCGTAAGCAATAGAACACAAAGAAACTTATTCACTTTGGAGATCACATTACATTTTCCGCAGCTGTCGTCCTGTCCTCCTCCTCTTTTAAAATCCAATCAGCTCTCCTCTTACGAGCCTCATAGTTAGATGGCAGCTTTTGACGTTTGTCTTCTTCCACGACTTCTTGATGATTCAGTTGCCTAGCTTCGTTCTGAAAAAGCAAAAAGGAGAATCAAGTAAAATGTGAAGAAATGTTCCATAATCGAAGCAACAGAAAGTGGCCTTGAAGTTGAGGTTAGGAATGTAGAAAGTTGACAACAAGTTGACGCTCACTTTAGATAGATTGCTTAATGACACTGCATAAGATTAAAAGAATCCAAGAAAAAGGCTACAGAAGAAAACAGTGCTAGTAAATGAAATAATGATTACCCTTTTGAGATGAAGATCTCTGAGTTTTTTCATTCTTTCTGCCTGCCTTTCAGCGAAAGACATGGTACTGCTCGTACCGGAACTGGAGCCAGCTGCCTCCATTTCTTTCGACGCTGAGACACTTCCAAATAGAATAAAAGTTCCAAAATATTTCAAGATTTTCTCAAAGTTTCCTAGCTGTGAAGAAATATGCAGGAAAAGACTGTTGTTGTCGTCGAGTCGACTGCGTTATGTTTACGTTCCAGGCCAGCCGGATTGCCAACTGTGGTTTCCCAAAGTCCCTCGCTTGAAAACTGTTGCCTTTTCACAAAAGGCGGGCTATTTTAAAACCCCCTTCATCCAGATTGATTGAAATAAAAATTAAATTTTCCCTGCACGAGTTCAAGCTACGAATAAGTCCGAAAACAGTTTGTTTCGTTTTCAAACCTGGTCGTTGGTAGCAGCTGCGCGCCATTTTCAAACTGCGTCGCTCATCGGTCCGTATCGCATCGGCTGCCCGTGGCGAGCCACCTTTCTCTACATGTAACGCAATGTGGCGACAAAGTTTTCGGTCCTTCTGGACCTGGGTTCGAGCCATGAGCGATACCAGCGAGGGCTGAAAAACGGAATTTAGGGACAGGTATCACAAGTAAAGCGGGTGGACGCAACACAGAGGTGAACTTTCTTTCCTCTGAAATCTCTCTGACGTCACGGGAGCAAGCCGCGCGACACACACGCGACCAGACTAAGCGGGCCGCGGTTCAAACCCCCTTCGATATATTTTTTTCTTTTTCCCACCTCACCCCGCTGTGGCGGCGTGCAACGAACGGCGCTGATCATGCTGCCCAAGTAAGGCGAGGGGCGCTCGGCGCGCTCGCGGAGTCTGGCGGTGTCTGTCTCCACAAGCCGCGCCGGCCCGGGCCAGGGCACGATGGTCTGTCTCTCTCGCACCCACAGGAAACGTGCCAAAACGCGCCATGAGTGAGGAGAGAGAAATCTCCCACCCGGAATCAGTGTGGGGCCTACCGGCCAGCCGCAGCTCCAGGCAGCCAGCCGCACCCCGTGAGGGGGCGCACTCAGGGTGTAGTGTATATAATGTATGACTGCTCATAGAGAGTTGCATCTGCCAATAGAGAGTTTAGTCCTGTATATAAGTCACTCTGTATATAATGAATCAGCTGTAACCTGTCACTTGACGACTGAGCGGCCTGTGGAATGGAAAACTAAGTCTCGATCTATTATTGAAGCCCCGCCCTAACCCATTGACGAAGCCACGTGGAAGCTGGCCTCGCCTCACACTGCAAAGCCATCATTCCCTCGCCGCATTTTTCTTTGATCATCTTACGGCTTTACTCTTCTACAAGATATTGTCTCGGAGGCTGAACCCAAAAATCAAGATCGCGTATCTAGGGGACTTTAGATGAAAATCGCGGCTCCACCGCAAAGTTTAGCGGCCGCGCCAATCCGTTTCTCCCGTTAGCGCCTGTGAGGTAGGCAACCGCCAAGCCCGCAACACACCTGCGTGCAGACGCTGGCCTGCCTGGCCCCTGTCGTCTGCAGGGCGAGGTAGGCCAGCCTCTGCACGCAGGTGTGTTGCGAGTTGGGTGGTTGCCTACCTCGCAGGCGCTAAAAGGCCGGAAGAGAGGAAAGAGAGGAAGAGAGAGAGCCGAGGAGTGCGAGAGAGACAGCGACGAAAACGACTCTCGGAATCAGTCTGCGGACTGTCTAGCCTAGACCCGAGGCGCTTTGGCGCGCTTTGGCGGCTGCCCGGCTTGACTTGGCTCGACTGTGACCTCCGCGGCCTCCGCGGCGGCTCGGCTCCACGGCCGTTGCCGCGCGCTGCCCTCGTCTCCCCTTTGTCGTCGCCTTATACGTCCTGTCGTACGTGGACGTCCCGCGTCGCCGTCCCGGCATGGAGCAGGGACGGTGCCGTCCCCGCCCCGCCCCACCCCGCCCCGCCCCGCCCCGCCCCGCGGTGCAAGTGCGCGCGGTCGCGCGAGAAGAGGACGCTTCCCGGAATCGAGCGGCAATCCGTCAAACGGGCTAACGATCGTCTTAAAAAAGTGTGCGCGCTCAGGTGAGAGGGACGGCGATGTCCGCGGGGAAGGGGGAGAGGGGGGGGGGGCTAGCCACGCGTGGCCATTCACAACGTCATTCAGCGTCTGCTGCTGCTCGATCGAGAGTGCACCACGCCCCGCCACGCCCCGCCACGCCCCGCCACGCCCCGCCACGCCCCGCCACGCCGCGCCCCGCCCCGCCCCGCCACGCCTCCTCGCGGGTCGCGCGCCACGCGTCCGCCCCGCGACTTAAAAGGAAATATGTCTCATTCAGGAGAACAAGCGAGTCCAGTCGTCCAGTCGGACTCTGGCCGCGGGGGCCGCGGCCTGGCCGCCGTCTGTCGTCGCGCGCTTTCCCGGCGCGACGCGCCCCCGCGCGCCCCACGGCCGGCAGGCTGGGTCCGAACAGCGCATTCGTCGCTCTGTCTCTGTCTCTCTCTCTCTCTCTCTCTCTCTCTCTCTCTCTCTCTCTCTCTCTCTCTCTCTCTCTCTCTCTCTCTCTCTCTCTCTCTCTCACTCTCTCTCTCGTGGGACGTCCGACGGGTGCGAGAGAGACAGGGCGACGAGGCGCTGTGCGCGCTGTGCGGCAGAGTCGCGACGTTATCGCCCCGCGCCGCCCTCGCCGCCGCGCGCCGCACTGTACTGTATACTGGCATGCCCGATGCACCGCGGGCTCCACGTGCGGCTCCAAGCAAATTTCGCCTATTTCGCCTTTTTCTCGACGTGACTCATCGTGCAGCGGGCTCTTGACCTTGGGCTATGCAGGCAGTACTAACATGTTCGCGTGGCGACGGGACGGGAGGGAGGGAAAGATGGTCTCCTAACTCAGGGTATTCCCCATTCGTATAAAAAGCTCGTACACGAGGCTGCAGGTCAGTAGCGCTCTGTGCGTTGAAGCGTGCACACCCTCCGTGATTAACTGGAAAATCTTCTGCAAATCAAGAATCTAAATCCAGGAACTTCAATGGCGCTGGAGAGCTCCATTGCCATTGAATATTACCACCTGGATCCGCCCTTGGAAGAGGAGCAGACACCCCTGCCATACGGAAGTGTGGAATACGCCGCAGTGGAGCGCCTACTCGTTGGATCCCTCAAGGGCTATAGGCTTTCAGTGAAAGACATAGTAGCGCTGCACAACCCGCGAACTTATGAGAAATTCGCCGACAACGTGGAGCTGTACAGGCACAAGCCCGGAGCCGTAGTGATGCGTCTCTTGCACGGGACACGGCCGGACAACGTAAACGCCATCTTCGAATCCAACTTGAAGCTCAGTAAGACTAACCTGACTGACGAAAATCGTAACAGCAAATGGTACTGTGGAGAGGGATTTTACTTCACGAACAGCGCGCCGTACGCGTGCAGTCCACGTTTTACCGGATTTGGGGAGAAGCACCTCCTCTTGTTTGACGTGTTGGTGGGGAGTGTGGCCCGACTCCCACGGGGCAAGATGTACCCGCCGGAGGGAATCGACACCACGCAGCCCGAAGACGAAACTGTTGAGTCTTACGCGAAATTTGGAGAGGACTTGTTTTATCCGACCCACCTCATCGTGTGCAATTGAACACGCAAGCAAGCGCAATAGTCGTCGACGGGGTATTCCTAAGTGATCATCTGACAGACCAGGAACCCCACGGTCGATACGCTGTTTTGTACGAATGCCACACAATTACGTAGAGAGTAATCGCTGTTACGCAATATTGCGCAAATATCACGCAGTTATTACGCTTCCATTGCGCCCCGAAGGTCCAGCATTAGACAGTTTTGGCGAATAATTGTCATCTTATTACGCGTAATAACCGATCTGAGCGAACAGACTATTGCGCCTGAAAATAGCCCCTCGGCCGGCCCGGGTCCTTTTTTAAATGTTTTGGACGTCTACATATTTGATAGTTATCTATTTCTATTTGTTCTGATTGTTCTCCTGCGAATAAAAATAAAGTGACGAACTTTAGTAGACTATTTCTTGAATTTTCAGCACCACGCAGGCGCGCGCGCGCACACACACACACACGCACAAAATGAGTGACACAGCGTATTGAAGCGTAACAGGCCTGGTTTGCGCGAGCCCCGCGAGGCCGCGAGGTGTCGGATGGGTGGTTTTGCCCCTGAAACTCCCACGCCGTGCCTCATGGCTGTGCCTTTTGGCCCGGGCCCTCAGGGCGTTGGGGAAGGAGAGCCATGTCTGGACACAAGTGCAGCATAGGGATCGAGGAAAGCGACCCGCTGCTGGCCGTGCAAGCCGGTCTAACACGGCAGACTGATTCCGAGTCGTCTTCGCCGCTCTGTCTCTCTCACACTCATGGGTCCATGTCTATGGATGCGAGAGAGACGGAGTGACTAGGGCGACTCTTGGGGCTGCTGCCACGGCGCTGCAGCGGATTGGGTGGCCATGAAAGGCAGCGAATCGACGCCGAGTTCGGTCATCGGCATGCACCACTCCACCTCCACCTGCCCCCTCTCCCCTTTCCCAGCGTCGTTTTCGTCGCTCTGTCTCTCTCGCACTCATGAGGCGTCCCGTTAAGGTGCGAGAGAGACAGAGCGACGAAAAGGACCCTCGGAATCAGTCGACAGACGGGCTCGTACTGAATGGTCTGATTCGTGCGTGTTTTGTCCCGCGATGAGGCGTTATTGAGACGTACGTGGATGATTTACACGGCGTGCCCCGGCAGGCGCCCTGCCACGGACAAGATGAAAATGAATACGTCTTTCATTGGCACGGTGCAGCCGTGCTCGCCCGCGCCTCTGTACAGTGCACAGTGTAGTACACAGCTCTACGCGGCCGGCCTTGACCGAGCCGTGGCGCTGTGCTTCCCGACGGCTGTGTATCGCTGCTGTGTACACTGGTGTACACCCCGCCCGCCCCTCTGTGGGCCGAGCAGACAAACATATGCCGTGGCTTTTCTGTTTTGTATTTTTAATGTAATAGCGCGCCGGTGCGAGTGGCTAGACGGGCGGAAGGGTCTCGGCACGGGCAGGAGCGCCGGTGCGGGGCGCACAGTGGACCAGAAGACCGGTGGAGGCGGCCCAAAGTCGAGACGCGTTTCGAGCTCCAGAGTCGCGAAATGGGACTCGAACCGAACGTGTGACCCCACCAACGGATTGCTCTTCGAACGAGGAATCCATTGGTGGGGCCACAAGTCTGCTTCGAGTCCTGTATACAGTGACTCTGGAGCTCAAATCGCGTCTAGAATTTTGGCCGCCTCCACCGGTCTAGAGACCTAGAGGCTGACGGAGAAGCGCGGGCGCCGTCGCGCGCTGGCGGCCATTTTGTCTGGGCCGGCCCAGAGGGGAGCGGGGAGGGGACAGGGAGCGGAGCGGAGAGCGGTGCGGTAAGGTGGGGCGAGGCGGAGCGCAGCAGACAGCCCGAACAGTTTTTCGGCCACAGCTCGAAAACCGTTCAAGTTAGAGTGGTACAGTAAGCGAGCCGATTGTAGCTTGTACAGAGACCTACAATCGGCTCGCTTACTATACCCCTCTATCTAGAACGGTTTGGAAGCTGTGACCGAAAAACCTTCTCTAGCCGTTAAGTGCGTGGGCCGCCATTTTGTCTGGAATATGAGACAGCTCTCCGGCCGCGCGCGAGGAGTATGAGAAACTGTTGGTGCGCTTATCGGCGCCCGCGCTTCTCCGTCAGTCTCTAGGTCTCTACACCGGTCCACCGGTCTTCTGGCCCACTGTGGCGCGGCGCGGCAGTACGACAGTGTCCTGGCGCAGTGCAGTGGGAGTGACACGGTGCAGCATGCAGGGGTGCCATGGCATTGACGGACGAGCACACCGACAAACGCACACAAGCAAACGCACACAAACACGCGCACACGCACACACACACACACGCACGCACATGGACACCGACACGCCCAAACTGACTTTTCACAGGAAGTGGCGCTTCGCTCATCGCGGATGCATCACGGGAGTTACCGATCGCACCGCCACTGGAGCGGGACGGGAGAGAGAGGGAGAGAGAGAGAGAGAGAGAGAGAGAGAGAGAGAGAGAGAGAGAGAGAGAGAGAGAGAGAGAGAGAGAGAGAGAGAGAGAGAGAGAGAGAGAGAGGGCCATCGAGCACGGACAGCTGGTCCTGGCAGCTGATCGAGCTGATCGCCTCCATCAATGGACACATAGGCCGTAATGATGTTCCCCCTCTGGTGGGTACGGCACGCCCCTGCAGGGCTCCGCATGGCTATAAAAAGGCAGACAGGAATCCCGCTCTTATTGTGTCCCATTTCGATTGTCGCCCTGCCCGCTGTTTCGCGCGGCCCTGTTGTCTATCTACAGGACCTGCAGACTGATTCCGCGAGAGTCGTTCTATCGTCGCTCTGTCTCTCTCGCATCTGTACCGGACACCCCACGAGTGCGAGAGAGACAGACTGACTGCAGGTTGGGAAGGACGTGGGATCCCCTCGGCACGGCGGTTCATATCGCCATAGTCGACGACCATTTTTCGAAGTTCATTCAGGATTCTGCAGATGTACTGGCGAGTGCGGGCAAGACGCCCTTTCTTTGCCCACGTGTCTGTCTGTCTGTCCGTCTGTTGCCCGTCTGTCTGCCTGTCTGTCTGTCCGTGTGTCTGTCTGTCCGCTGTCCGTCTGTCTGTCTGTCTATCCGTCTGTCTGTCCGTGTGTCTGTCTGTCCGTCTGTCCGTCTGTCCGTCCGTCTGTCTGTCTGTCTGTCTGTCTGTCTGTCTGTCTGCCTGTCTGTCTGTCTGTCTGTCTGCCTGCCTGTCTGTCTGTCTGTCTGTCTGTCTGTCTGTCAGTCTGTCTGTCTGTCTGTCTGTCTGTCTGTCTGTCTGTCCGTCCGTCCGTCCGTCCGCCTGCCTGCTGCCTCGCCAAGGCGCGCCAAGGCCGCCCCGCGCCCTACGAAGGGCTGCTCGCTGGAGGGAAATGGCGGGAAATGGCGCGCGGCGCGGCGGCAGACGTCAAAGCGATCGGCGCGATGCCCGGTGAGACGGCGCGGCGCTCGGCGTGACGTCACGTCCGGGCGAAAAGCGAAGGGCTGCGGCGGGGCAGACGGAGGCGGGGTTGCTTTTCGATCCACCGCCCTTGCCCTTCACCTTGCCGCGCCTCGCCGCACAAAGGATTTGCCAGAAGACCGATGGATGCGGCCAAAATTCGAGAAGCGTTTTGAGCTCCATAGTCGCTAAATGGGGCTCGAGTGGAACGTGTGACCCCACCTGATTCGCGTTCAAACGAATGGGACACAGTCTTCAAATGAACGTGACACGTTTCACGCTTAACGAACGTGACGTCACATTCCCTGATTCTCAGTGTAGTCCTGTTGCCCTGCTCAACCAGATGGAATAGCACATTAACAGGGCCCGTGACAATTTCGGCAGCCAACTTTGGTGACTTGTCCCTCCCCTTCTCTCCTTTCGCCATGTGGTCCTGGCGGTGGGGAGGGGGATCCCCGTCCCCCCTCCCCACCCGCTTCATGACGGTCCCTGGCCGCCCCGGGCCCCGCCGTGTGAACATGCACAATGTGAGCATCCTCGAGGGAAAGGGAAAGAGGCCAGGCTAACAGGCCACGTCCGCTGTGCCGAGCCGAGCCGAGCCGAGCCGAGCCGAGCCGAGCCGAGCCGAGCCGAGCCGAGCCGAGCCGAGCCGGGCCCTGCACCCATGCAGCGCGGCATGCCTCGCGAATTAATCATGTTCAGCTTAATTACGAGTTAGGCCGCCAGGGGCGCTGTGTGCGGCCTGGTGGCGTGGCGCGGCGTGGCGCACTTTCACACCTGCACGCCAACAACATGGCCCCCCGCATGCCGCACACACTCACTCACACGTAGTACTCGCACACGCACACACGCACACAGTGCACTATGCATGCTGTTCGATCCCTCGACAGACCCAGATGGACAGGCCGACACCGCGTCCTGCTGCACTGCATCCCCGGGACGCTTCTCTCCGTCATCGCGATCTCGACCGTCAGTGGGAAATCGTGTAAATAATGTGGTGGCAGCGATGGCGGTGGATAGGGAGGGGGGAGGGGAAGGGGAATGAAGCAGCAACTGAGCCGAGTCGACAAATTTCGCGCGAAAGTGCTTAGGCGCGTAAACTGCTTCGTGAACGTCCTTTGAACCTCATTACCCCTGCTTCTCGCGCGTTAGTCCTTTCTACGCCACCGCGGCACCGCGGCCCCTTTCAGGCCTCCTGCCCCCTCCTTTCTCTCTCTCTCTCTCTCCCCCCCCCCCCCTCTCTCTCTCTCTCTCTCTCTCTCTCTCTCCCCCCCCCTCTCTCTCTCTCTCTCTCTCTCTCTCTCTCTCTCTCTAGCAGGTGCAGGGGTCCGTGTGGGAGGACGCTCGCTGTTTGCGTAAGCGAGTAAGCGGTTGCTTACGGTGTGCTCTGCTCTCGATGCAGGCCATGCAGGCCATTGCCGTGCCGGCCCACAGTGGGCCAGAAGACCGGTGGAGGCGACCAAAACTCTAGACGCGTTTTGAGCTCCAGAGTCGCTAAACAGGGCTCGAACCGAACGTGTGACCCCACCAATGGATTCCTCGTTCGGAGAGCAATCCATTGGTGGGGTCACACGTTCGGTTCGAGTCCCATTTAGCGACTCTGGAGCTCAAAACGCGTCCAGAGTTTTGGCCGCCTCCACCAGTCTTCTGGCCCACTGTGCGGCCGTGCTCGCCGAGGAGGGCGCGTCGGCGGCGGCCGAGGCGGCGGCCCAGTGCCCCTCTGGCGCGCCCACTGATTCCGAGAGTCGTTTTCGTCGCTCCGTCTCTCTCGCGCTCCCGGCGCATCCCGTAGTGGTGCGGGAGAGACAGAGCGACGAAAACGACTCTCGGAATCAGTCTGCGGTGCGTGCGCGCGGCAGGCGGCAGGCAGGCGGCGAGCGGGAGAAAGAGGAATAGAAATTGGACATTGTTTTGGCGGAGTATCACACAGACACGCACACACTAGCGCACCGATACACACACTCGCACAGGCCGGCCCGCGTTGGCCGAGAGAGCAGTGT